CCACTCGGTCATCACTGGTGGTCGAGCCATGCCAGTCTGCTCGGTTCAAATCTCCATGCATTTTCCTCATCTTTCTCTGCCTTGATGCTCTTACTCATTCTTCTCTTCCACGGAGCCTTCGCAGATCTCCTCTCCAAGCTAAGGACCTCAGACTTGTTTTTAAATGTTTTTATTGATTTTTAAAGACAGAGGCATGGGGAGGTTACAATACTATCTTTTTTCCTGAATAAATCCTCTTGGTGATGAAACACCTAGGCAATAGTATTTTTTAGTCAATAATAGGCACTGTGAAGTTGGAGAAGGTCTCATCTAGACTAGGAATTTTTACCTTCTAAATATAACATAATTATTTGTGCTGGGTATTGCAAGTATTTACCATTCTACCTTCAGATATTCCCTCTTTGGGAACCACTGCACAGTTTGAGAACTGAAAGCATCATGACAGATTCTAATCAAAACATATTCCTTACTCTGATTATAATGTTGGGTTGGTCACTAAACTTCTTCAAGCCCCACTTCTGCAATGGAGAATGAAGGTCAAAATTGTATCACTTCAGAGAGAGAACCTTTATAAAATTTAAATCAAACAGTGCATACAAGGTACTAAACTCAGATTGGATAGCATTAAATTATATAATTATGTCTCATAATTAACAAAGGTCTTATAATGTGGGACTAAGTAGCAGCTCTTATCTTCTGATATAAGTATGAAATTTCTCATTGATTTGGAAAATGTGTCATGAAGGCAAGGAGGGCGGTGCCCAAGCTTTACATAAAAGTCACACTGTCCTCTCCCTTGTTGAAGAGAGAAATAGCAATTTTCTGGAGGTATCATGGCTTGTGCCCCATGACAGGTCAGTACTTTGAAAATCCAAGTTCCTAGTCAAGCCACCTTCCTCAGTCTTGGACTTTAGAGAAAATGTAATTCAGAGTTGGGAAAGGTGCTGGGAGATGAGACTCAAGAGGGTCATGGAGAAGGAGTAACAAAAACAGGATTCACTTAACTTCTAACCTGGTCCCTTGGGAACAAAGAATGGGCAGGAAATTTTTCCATTCTGTTCAGACCAGTGTGTCCACAGGGAAACCGGGTGCTCAGAGGTGAGAGCAACAATGCAAACAGCATCTAATGAGCAGTAAAAGGGAGGAGTAATATCTTCTCCGCAGCAGACTCGCAACATGTGCAACGTTAGGCTGGAAAAGAACATATTTGTTTCTTTTGGGGTCTTAATTCTGACTCTGGAACTAGTGCTTGACTCCTTCCTGCTCTTTTGTCTGAGAACAGAGCTTCAGTCTCCAGCATTAACCTTCCAGGGAGCAATTCAGACTTCTACAAGGAGCCTTTCCTTTCAGAGGCCCATCCAGGTGAGTCTGTGAGTGCAGCAGGCGCTGTGGGAAGATTCAAGGAGTGCATCCCAGAATTTCTCCCTGAGGTAACCTGAGAGCCTAACCAGGCCAGCTCAGAACTGAGAGACGACCATATCTGTGTGCTAGGTGGGCGAATATATAGTTAATACATTTAGTATGCTAAATTAGTTTTCTCCTAAAAACATTGCTGTTTGGCATAGAATTAGTTTATATATGTATAGATGGAGTTAGGGGAATGGATGAAAATGTATTAATTTTGTGTGGTCAATTCTATCAGTCTGTCACATTGTGTCTTCACCAATTACTTTTAAACATAAACAGTTCTACATTTTTCACCTTGGCAAACACATTCTTCCACATTCAATTAATGATTTTTTCTATCTATTTTCTAAGCATAATCTATTTATGTTTACATAGGCAGAAATTATAACTGTAGATACTGCTTAATTCACTGCCTTTTAAAAGTATATTTTTGTGTGCTTTTTTCCACATCCTGCACATATATATAGAACTGGAGCGCCATATTGATGTAATTAAAATGTGTTGGGGTTTTTTTGGGGGGGAGGCACATTGCTTTTTTTTGAAATTAGTTTTATAATTTTATTCAATTTTATTAATGCCATTATTTGAATACACAATATTTAACTATGTTTATTTTCCCTGCCATTTTTATATTGTGAATATTCCATACCTTAACTTCTTTTCCATATGAAAACACACATTAATAAAACTACATAAATAAACAAAATCAGTGAGCTCCCTGCTCATTTGACCTCACATTATACAAAGAAGGCCCAGTACAATGAAATAGGTGTGCTATGATATCATATTCTCAGGGATAAATATGTGAAGAAAGGCGATCAATTGTTGTGGCATAAGCAGGATTTTATAAAAAATGTTTGGGGATGATTCATAAGTTGACAAGGAACAGAGTAGGACTAGTGCCCACCCATCAGTTGTGTCACAAAAGAGGTCAAAACTCAAACCCAAAAATAGCAAAGGAAAGATGCTATTGAGCCATATAAACACCAGAGTGGCCTAATAAACATGGAATAGGTGCAGGAATCACAATTAGATCAGAGGCTGGGAGGGCGCTGTGATGAGGCCAGTGGTGCAATGAAGGTCCAGTCTGTGTGTGGTTCCTTGAGTCTGAGGTAACTTCAGCACCCACACTGGCTCCCTCTTCTCGCTGCACCTGGCCCTCTGCCGGGGTCTTCACTCTTATTACTTTTCATTCATTAGTAGTAAAGGGCCTTTTAAGCAGGTCTTGCATTGCTTGTGTTGAATTCCAGATCTGTTTTACTGTGTCTCAAAATAAGACATGCCTTTTACATTATGATCCAGCATTTTTGTGCAAACACACACACACACACACACACACACACACACACACACACACGAGAAAAAAAGGGAACCATGAAATGATTATGTATGGACCCTCACTGTGTATGGCACACTCTAATGCTTTCTTTTGTGCCTCCTTGATTCCATTCTATTTCATTCTTACAACTGTAATCTGCAAAGGGCTCCTGATCTCAGAACATAGAGAACATTCCTCAAGCATATCCTCCACACCTAACTTCATAGAATCCTGTCATAGAATACATGTTTATCAGCCACACTAAACTAAATCTAAAGGGGAAAGAAGGTGTTTGTATAACATGCTATATGCCTCAGGTACTCACAGTCTAGCAAGGAACAAAGACATGGGATTAAATAAAAATCTCACCATGGGTGCCCTAACACTTAGATTAATAGCGTGAGAAAGTGACCTATTACTGTGCTAATCTTAGAAAAAGAAAAGGTTCGTGAAGGAGATGATTCAGTCTCTCTAAAAGAGGAGTTGGAGTTTGGAGGATGGAGAGGGGTGAAAAATTCCAAAAGACCAGTGGGGAGACCCCAAGCAGATTAAAGCAAGCCCATAAAGGCTCTGAGCCCTGAAGCTGTGGTGTCAGGTGAAGTGGACTCAGTTCAATGTTTAGGAGACCAGTGGTAGGGAGGCCAGGGCTCTGTGAGGGTGGAGCTGGCTGAAAGTTCACAGGCACTTGTGTTTGAAGCTATAGAATTTTGGCTTCTATCTCCAGTGAAGTATCACTAGAGAAGGAATTTAAATCAGAGAGTTCGATGATCAGCTTTAAAGTTCTCTCTGAGTCAATGTGAATATTTGGCTAACGGGGTGCCTGCCTGTTAGATGGGAGAGATGACAGGGAACTGAAATATGTCTGTGGAATTGGAGACCAAGATGTTAGGAAGCAATGAAGACATTTGAGAGGAGGAAGAAAATAATCAGCCTCATCCCATCAGAGTGGTAACCATTCATTTACCAACAAGAAGGAAGTACACCAAGTTCTTTACATACAGTATATTGATTATCTGTCCACCATCATAGGCTGTTGGATACTATAATCCTCATCATCAGGTGAGGTTATTAACAATTATTAAGCTGTAGCCCTAACCACTTTGGCTCTGTGGATAGAGCATGGACCCAGGACTGAAGGGTCAAGGACACATTTCTGGGGTGAGGGCTTGATCCCCAGTAAGGGGTGTGAAGAAGACAGCCGATCAATGATCCTCTCTGATCATTAATGTTCCTATCTCTATCTCCTTCTCCCTTCCTCTCTGAAATCAATAAAAATACATATTTGAGAAAAAGACAAGGGGAGAATCTTAAAAGCAGCAAGAGAAAAACAGTTAGTTACCTACAAGAGAGCATCCATATGACTCTCAGCTGATTTCTCAGCAGAAAACATGCAGGCCAAAAGGGAGTGGTAAGAAATATTCAGTGATGAATATCAAGGACCTATGACCAAGAATACTCTACCCAGCCAAGCCACCATTTAGAATTGAAGGTCAAATAAAGAGCTTCACATACAAGAAAAAGTTAAAGGAGTTCATTCCCACCAAAACAGTATTACAGGAAATGTTGAAGGGTATTTTAAAGAAGAAGAAAAAGAGAAGGAAGGAAAAGAATAATGAGGAGGAGGGTGAGCGGGAAGAGGAAGAAGATGGGAGGAAAAAAAGAAGGAGAAGAAAAATATAGCAAATATGAAGAATAGAATGGCAATAAAAATATATCTATTAATAATTGAAACTAAAATCAAGGTAAATGAACAAGAAGTCTAATGAACAAAATAAACTGATGAGTAAAATAGAACCAGAGGCATAGAAATATGGAACAGACTGACAAATCTCAGAGGGAAGGGGGAAGAGTAGGGAAGAGATTAACCAAAGAACTTATATGCATATGTGCATTACCTATGGACACAGACAATAAGATGGTGAAGGCCTCCAGTGGGATAGGAACTGGGATAGGAACTGGGTAAAGGGGGTAATGGAGTTGAAAAAGGAGGACATCTGTAATACTCTCAATAATAAAGATTTTTTAAAAAACTAACAACAACAAAAAAAAAACCTGTGTAGTCCATGGCCACCTTGGGGAAAAGGTCTGAGGAGGACAGAAATTCCTAATCAGAATGTCATGGGTTAGGGTGTGTGTCGTAAAGGGGATGATATGTTCAAAAAAATAGATATTGATTACTTTATTGCAAAGTATAATTGTAGCATTTCAATTATGTTAGTAATATTCAATGATTTAAGAATGATCATGCTACTTTTTCTTTTCTACTAGTCACCTACACCACATGGGACGAAACAATGATACCCCAATTTCAGAATTTATTCTCCTGGGATTTTCAGAGGAACCAGCACTGCAGCCCCTCATATTTGGGCTTTTCCTCTCCATGTACCTGATCACTGTGTTGGGAAACCTGCTCATCATCCTGGCTGTCAGCTCAGACTCCCACCTCCACACCCCCATGTACTTCTTCCTCGCCAACCTGTCCTTGGTAGACATCAGTGTCACCTCCACCACCGTCCCAAAGATGCTGGTGAACATCCAGACACAGAGCAGAGTCATCACCTATGCAGGCTGCATCACACAGTTGTATTTTTTCATACTCTTTGCAGGACTGGATGACTTTCTTTTAGCCGTGATGGCCTATGACAGGTATGTGGCCATCTGCCACCCCCTGCACTATATGGTCATCATGAACTCCTGGCTCTGTGGACTGCTGGTTCTGATGTCCTGGATCATGGGATCTCTGAATTCCTTGTTACAAAGTGTGATAGTGTCTCGATTGTCCTTCTGTAAGGACTTCAAAATTCCCCACTTTTTCTGTGAACTCAAACAGGTCATCCAACTTGCCTGTTCTGACACCTTTCTTAATAACATGGTGATGTATTTTGTATCAGTGCTTCTGGGTTGTGGTCCCCTTGCTGGTATCCTTTACTCTTACTCTAAGATAGTGTCCTCTATACGTGCAATCCCATCAGCTCAGGGGAAGTATAAGGCATTTTCTACCTGTGCATCTCACCTCTCAGCTGTCTCCTTATTTTATGGTACAGTCCTAGGAGTGTATCTCAGCTCTGCTGCTACCCACAGCTCACACTCAAGTGCAGCAGCCTCAGTGATGTATGCCCTGGTCACACCCATGCTGAACCCCTTCATCTACAGTCTGAGAAACAAAGACATAAAGAGGGCCCTGAAAAGATTCTATGGGATGGCAGGTAGAAAAGGGACAACCATCCTGAGGTAGAAAAAGTCCTCCAAGACTCAAAACCAGAAATTGAGATTCTTTCATCAGATTGTAGTTTTCAAACTTATTCTTCAAACTTATTCAAACTTATTTGTATTCTGTCCTTGAATTTCCTTTGTTTGTTTCAATTCTTCTATACAATTTAAGTAACCATTTTATTAAGCTTTATGCTTTGTCTGTTATATAGACAGTTGTTCCCTTTGTCGTTTTTTGTACCTTCACAAAGTTTTTTCCAACCCAGATCAGAAATGTTTGGAAGTTGTCATTTAATTCATTGGCAACATTGATGTCTTAACAATAATTTCTTCTCAAATGACTTATATCATTGTAAGTAATTTGTTCTGTGTTCATCATGTGTCCTTCATTCTTTGTACATCGGTACCTTAACTGATCTTCCTGATACTGTAGATTTTATGGTTGTTCCCTATAAGTGTCAGTCTATTGATTGTGATGGAATAGGATAGGGATGCCTGGGCACTGGCCTGGGTCCTACAACTTGTTCCTCAGACCAGAGTCAATGTTGTGACTAGATGGATCCTTATGGTCCTTATGATTTCAACAGCCAACATGGAACTATGAATATGTAAGTTTTATTACTCACAGGTCCAGCATGCCCAAATACCACACACGAGAGTTGGATTTAGAGCAGGAGGAGGAAAAGCAGGATCACCCCTGTGGTCAGTTATCCAGGTTACTCAGGGTTTTCTACAAGGGGAATTTTATAATATGTTAATCTTGTGTAAAAATCACAAAAATTTTGTGTTTATTTTTTTATTTTATTTTATTTTATTTTATTTTTTTATTGCTTAAAGTATTACAAAAAGTATTACATATGTCTCCTTTTTCCGAGCCCCCCCCCCCCGCCCTGGACAATGCCCTGGCTTCCCCTACCCGCCGGTGTCTTATGTCCATTGGTTATGCTTATATGCATGCATACAAGTCCTTTGGTTGATCTCTTACCTGCCCCCCTCCTGCCCTCCCACCCTCCCCAGCCTTCCTGCTGTAGTTTGACAGTCTGTTCGAGGCAGCTCTGCCTCTGTATCTATTTTTGTTCATAAGTTTATAATGGTCTTTATTATCCAGAAATGAGTGACATCATGTGGTATTTTTCCTTCATTGACTGGCTTATTTCACTTAGCATAATGCTCTCCAGTTCCATCCATGCTGTTGCAAATGGTAAGAGTTCCTTCTTTTTTATAGCAGCATAGTATTCCATTGTGTAGATGTACCACAGTTTTCTAATCCATTCATCTACAGATGGGCACTTAGGCTGTTTCCAGATCTTAGCTATGGTGAATTGTGCTGCTATGAACATAGGGGTGTATATATCCTTTCTGATTGGTGTTTCTGGTTTCCTGGGATATATTCCTAGAAGTGGGACCACAGGGTCAAATGGGAGTTCCATTTGTAGTTTTTTGAGGAAACTCCATACTGTCTTCCATAGTGGCTGCACCAGTCTGCATTCCCACCAGCAGTGCACAAGTGTTCCTTTTTCTCCACATCCTCTCCAGCACTTGTCGTTTGTTGATTTGTTGATGATAGCCAGTCTGACAGGTGTGAGATGGTACCTCATTGTTGTTTTGATTTGCATCTCTCGGATGATTAGTGACTTTGAGCATGTTTTCATATGTCTCTTGGCTTTCTGAATGTCCTCTTTTGAAAGGTGTCTATTTAGATCCTTTGCCCATTTTTTGAGTGGATTGTTTATCTTCCTTTTGTTAAGTTGTATGAGTTCCCTATAAATTTTGGAGATTAGGCCCTTATCAGATATGACATTGGCAAATATGTTTTCCCACACAGTGGGTTTTCTTGTTATTTTGTTGATAGTTTCTTTTGCTGTGCAGAAGCTTTTTATTTTGATGTAGTCCCATTTGTTTATTTTCTCTTTAGTTTCCAATGCCCTTGGAGCTGTATCGGTGAAGAAATTGCTTCGGCATATGTCTGAGATTTTGTTGCCTTTGGATTCTTCTAGTATTTCTATGGTTTCCCGTCGTATATTTAAGTCCTTTATCCATTTTGAGTTTATTTTTGTGTATGGTGTAAGTTGATGGTCCAGTTTCATTTTCTTGCATGTATCTGTCCAATTTTCCCAACACCATTTATTGAAGAGACTATCTTGACTCCATTGTATGTTCTTGCCTCCTTTGTCAAATATTAATTGAGCGTATTGGTTGGGGCTGATTTCTGGGCTCTCTATTCTATTCCATTGATCTATATGTCTGTTCTTGTGCCAGTACCAGGCAGTTTTGAGAACAGTGGCTTTGTAATACAGCTTGATATCTGGTATTGAGATCCCACCTACTTTGTTCTTTCTCAGGATGGCTGCAGCTATTCGGGGTCATTTTTTATTCCAGATGAATTTTTGGAGAGTACGTTCTAGGTCTGTGAAATATGCCATTGGTATTTTAATGGGCAGTGCGTTGAATTTATAGATTGCTTTGGGCAGTATGGACATTTTAATGATGTTGATTCTACCAATCCAAGAACATGGTATGTTTTTCCATCTCTTTATGTCTTCCTGTATCTCTTTTTTCAACGTCCTGTAGTTTTCTGAGAAGAGGTCTTTTACCTCTTTAGTTAAGTTTATTCCTAGGTAGCTTAATTTTTTTGGTGCGATGGTAAATGGGATTGCTTTTTTAGTCTCTCTTTCTGCACATTCACTATTGGTGTATAGAAATGCCATAGATTCCTTGGCGTTAATTTTGTATCCTGCTACATTGCCGAATTCTTTTATTAAGTCTAACAGTTTATTGATGGAGTCTTTAGGGTCTTTTAAGTATAATATCATGTCATCTGCAAATAAGGACAGTTTTACTTCTTCTTTTCCAATTTGGATGCCTTTTATTTCTTCTTCTTGTCTAATTGCAATGGCTAATACTTCCAGTACTATGTCAAACAGGAGTGGTGAGAGGGGGCATCCCTGTCTTGTTCCTGTTCTTAGGGGAAATGGTGTTAGTTTTTGTCCATTGAGTATGATGTTGGCTGTGGTTTTGTCATATATGGCTTTTATTATGTTGAGGTATGATCCTTCAATTCCCGCCTTACTGAGAGTTTTTATCAAAAATGGGTGTTGAATTTTGTCAAACGCTTTTTCTGCATCAATTGATATGACTATGTGGTTTTTTTCTTTCAATTTGTTTATGTGATGTATCACGTTTATTGATTTGCGGATATTGTACCACCCTTGCATCCCTGGGATAAATCCTACTTGGTCGTGGTGTATGATCTTTCTGATGTACTGCTGGATCTGATTTGCTAAGATTTTGTTTAGGATTTTGGCATCTATGTTCATGAGGGATATTGGCCTGTAATTCTCTTTCATTGTGTTGTCTTTACCTGGTTTTGGTTTAGGGTGATGCTGGCTTCATAGAATGAGCTTGGAAGTGTTCCTTCCTCTTGGATTTTTTGTAGTAGTCTGAGGAGGATAGGTTTTATTTCTTCCTTGAATGTTTGGTAAAACTCCCCTGTGAAGCCGTCTGGTTCTGGGCTTTTGTTTGATGGAAGCTTTTTGATGACTGCTTCAATTTCTTCCATAGTTATTGGCCTATTGAGATTTTTAGATTCTTCCTGATCAAGTTTTGGAATGTTGTATTTTTCTAGGAATATGTCCATTTCCTCCAAGTTGTCTAGTTTGTTGGAGTAGAGTTGTCCATAGTATTTATTAAGAATCATTTGTATTTCTGTGGGATCTGTTGTTATTTCGCCTCTATCATTTCTGATTTTGTTGATTTGGGTCTTTTCTCTTTGCTTCCTGATGAGCCTGGCTAGAGGTTTGTCAATCTTGTTTATCCTTTCAAAGAACCAGCTCTTGGTTTCATTGATATTCTGTATTGTTTTTTTGGTCTCTATGTCATTTATGTCTGCTCTAATCTTTATTATCTCCTTCCTTCTGCTCACTCTGGGCTTTTCCTGTTGCTCTCTTTCTAATTCATTGAGCTGTAGATTTAGATGATTTACTACCATTTTTTCTTGTTTGTTGAGATAGGCCTGTAGAGCTATAAACTTCCCTCTCAGGACTGCTTTCATTGCGTCCCAAAGGTTTTGGATTGTTGTGTTTTCATTGTCATTAGTTTCCAGGATGTTTTTAATTTCTTCTTTGATCTCATTGGTAACCCAATCAATATTTAATAACGGGCTATTCAGCTTCCAAGTGTTTGAGTATTTTGAGTTGTTTTTGTTGTAGTTTATTTCTAATATTATGGCCTTGTGGTCTGAGAAGATGCTTGGTATGATTTCAATCTTCTTGAATTTGGGGAGACTTTGTTTGTGACCCAATATGTGGTCTATTTTTGAAGATGTCCCAGGAGCACTTGAGATGAACGTATATTTTGTGGCTTTGGGGTGAAGTGTTCTGAAGATGTCAATTAAGTCCATCTGATCTAGTGAGTCATTTAGGATTGCTGTTTCTTTGCTGATTTTTTGTCTAGCGGATTTATCCAGTGATGTCAGTGGTGTATTAAAGTCCCCTACTATGATTGTATTGTTGTCAATCTCTCCCCTGATATCTTCCAGGAGTTTTCTTATGTATGTGGGTGCTCCTGCATTGGGTGCATATATGTTTATCAGGGTTATATCCTCTTGTTGTATTGATCCCTTTAGTATTATGAAGTGGCCTTTCTTATCTCTTGTTATGGCCTTCACTTTGAGGTCTATTTTGTCTGATATAAGTACTGCTACCCCAGCTTTTTTTTCATTTCCATTTGCCTGAAAGATATTTTTCCATCCCTTCACTTTCAGTCTGTGTGAGTCCCTTCTAATGAGGTGGGTCTCTTGTAGACAGCAAATATAAGGGTCATGTTTTTTTATCCATTCAGCCACTCGATGTCTTTTGATTGGACCATTTAGTCCATTTACGTTTAAAGTTATTATTGAAAGGTACTTGTTTGTAGCCATTTCTATTTTTTTTTTTTTTTTGTGGCTGTTCTCTTTCTGGGCTTTTTAGTTCTTCTTTTTACACCAGTCCCTTTAGCATTCCTTGCATTGCTGGCTTGGTGGTGATA